GGACGAGGGCGAGAGAGAGTTTGAAGTCAGTGCTGATATTGAGGACGAAGGCCACGGCGAGGACGAGGGCAAAAGAAAGAAAGAGTTCAAAGTCAAGTCTAAAGACGAAGACGAGGCGAAAAATAGTTTGAAGTCGAGGCTAAAGGTGAGGGCGAGGGCGAAGGCGAGGGCGAGGGCGAGGGCGAGGGCGAGGGCGAGGGCGAGGGCGAGGGCGAGGGCAATTAGAGATCAGGCGTCTGCCAGACGAGAAAGGCCCATCCGCCGAGCCGGAAGTGGGCCAATGCGCCGGGGAGGCTGGCCACGTGGCTGCCGTACGGCCCGAGGCCGGCGACCACATGCCAGGCCCTGCCGAGCTGAAGGTCGAGTCCGCGCTTGAGTCCGGCCGCGATTTGCGTGTCCTGACGTCCGATGGCCAGCGCTCTGCGCGCCAGACGCACCAACAGATTCATCTCGTCTTGAGGCAGACGGTTCTGTGACGCATCGGCCGACACCTCGGCGCCGGGCAGCGTCAGCAGGTCGACAAAGTCGGCGCTCGCCGTCGCCGTCGCGTCGTCATCGAGCTGTGTCCAGCGGCCGAGTGGCCGAAAGAGAGGCGCTTCTGTGCAGTCGTAGACGATGGGCTGTCGCGAGTGGAACAGCTCGTCTTGCGCGCCCGCGTCCGTCTGCCCCGGTAGCCGTGGCAACGTCGCCGGCGGTGGCAACAGCGCCACCGGCGCTGCCGCCCTCGGCGGCCTCGGCGGCCTCGCCGTCCTCGCCGTCGCCTTGGACGGCGTCGCCGTCAGCCAGACGAGTCTGTCGGCCTCGTGGCACGAGCAGTGCTGGCAGAAGCGGCACTGGCCGGCGACTTCGAGGCGAGACGTCGAGCTTCGCCATCCGGTCGCCTGGCAACTGTGGACATGCGGTTCTGCGGGACACGCGAGCAGACTGTAGTGGCTGGGCGGCCGCGACGTCTGCGGCAGGACGATCTGTCGGACGAGGTGTTCGTGGACGCCGGTCGGCGTGCGTTGGCGCCAGCCGGTCTCGGAGCCGGCGGCCGGGACTCGAACCCGCGACCTGAAGAGCGGCGTGGAGAAACCGAGGTTGTCGGAGGCCGTCGCGTCGGAGCCGTTGGCGAGGGACGAGCGCTTCGAGCTGGGCCGGGACGGAGGCGGGCCGCTGACGGGCCAGCGCGAGATGGTGTGCATTCGCGTCTCTCGAGCCAGACTGACGGAGCCGACGTGGCCGACGCCGACGTCGACGTCGACTGCG